CTACAATTCTACAATATGTATACTCAGAAAAATGAGAAATTATATCCCATCTATGTATGATATATCAAAGTATATAAGTGCATTCTACTGTCATGTATAGCTAATTAAAACAAATAAAAAATTAAAAAATAATGTATGATCCAGTGCCTAAATTTAGATTTATTTCATTCAAAGCTTTTCTTTTTAACCATCACAGTGTAACATCTTCAATATGTGTATTACATATATATACATATATATATATGTATATATATGTTATACACATAATATTTTATGTATGAATGATGAACATGATGTGGTGGTTTATGCAACACCAAGAGGCTCATGGAATGAACGTATTAGCAAATAAGAAATCAGAAAGCCAAAGGATGATATCTCAGATACTACAATCACAAGAAAGTCACTAAAATGTTTTAACCTCATTTTTTTTTTGCCTGATAGAAGTGGACAGTAATAAGAATGAGCCCAAAGAGTCCATGGTTGAAACAACCGTAAAACAGTAAATGAAATAAAATGTGCAAATTCCTGTTTTTACCACTTAGGAACAGCTAATAAGGACCACAACTCTCTAAGCCTGCAACAGGTACAGATGGGCTCTATTTTTGAGTGTGTTTCTTCAAAATCTTAGTCCACTAAAACATAAGCTGTAACTACTAATGAACCCCTTTTGTGGATAACAATCACATTGCTTCTTCCCTTCCTTGAGCATGAGGTATACTGTAGAAATATCAGAAACATTTTCTTCCCTTTTAAAAATAATATCGCAGGGCTGGGGCTGGGGCTCAGTGGTAGAACACGCGCCTAGCACATGCGAGGCACTGGGTTCAGATCCTCAGCACCACATTAAAAATAAATAAAATAAAGGTACTGTGTCCAACTACAACTAAAAAAATAATATCACAGGTTAGAAGATTATATTTATAAATGTATACATTTGTTTTATTCTTAGAGTTGAGCATTTTGCAAATGGATCCTTATCCTGAAGGATAGTGAGGAATACGATTTCTGAGATACAATACATCAAGTCTTTTCTTGTCATATCCTAAGTAAGGGGACAGTATAAAGAGCATTATGATTCAAAATTTGCCAGGCATAAATGCCAGTGCCCCCTCTGGAGGAGACTTTCATCACTACATTTGGAGTTACAAAAACAAAAAGAAAAAAAAAATCTTAAAACTTAAAGTAAAAACAATAAATATCTATTTTTAAAAACTGCATTAGGTTACCTTTTTCTATGATTTTTAAAGAGATAAAACTAAACCTTATTAGCTAACAAATAATAAAATAGCTCATCTGGTTTATTCTTTAAAAGGATAAATTGGTACAGTTTACTTAACACAAGCACCGATTTCTCTCAAGCTGTGGGAATTTTGATACCAGGTGTGTATGTTTCAAACTAAAAATTACAAAAGAAAGAAGGTGTTTGGCTGGAAACCTTTTTTTTTTTTTCCCCCATGTCCTCCAGTAAGTTAAGAGTGAGAAGGAAGGACCTTCCAGGAAGAAAAGCATGAAGTAGTCACTTTCTCAGACTGCTCTGGCCTATCTTGCCACTGAACCACTTCCTACAGTGGATCCCTATAACAGGGATGAGGGCCAATTAAGGGGGCAAGGCTCAAAGAAACTATGAAGCCAGGTGACAAAGTGAGACACAGGCTTCAAACATTATTTGTAATATTTATGATGGCTTTTGGCTGAATAATCACATTTTACGCTACTATTAAAATATTCACAAGTGAAAATGGTTCTATCAAAATCTTTGAGGCAGTATGATGTAGTATTTAGACCTGGACTCTGAAACCAGATCATTCAGCTTCCAATCCCTATGCACCACTTACTAAGTGATGATCTTTTCTCTAAGCTGGAACATATTTATTTTATAAAATGGGGTGATATTGTGGTCTTACCTTACTAGGCTATCTGTGAGGATTTAATGAGCTAATATAGTAACAAGCTTAGAAGGGTTCCTGGAATTTGATAAGAAACTGATAAAGGTTACATCCACTGGCACTTCAAGAGAGACTCATATAAAATGTCCAGATCTCAGAAAGAATAGTATTCTACTGCTTGTGGTTGGAGGGAATATGAGATGGAAGGTATTCTCAAGACATTTTAAAGCATCCCTTCCTATACACCCCCCTTGGTGTGTGCTGTGTGTGTGTGTGTCTGTCTGTCTGTCTCTCTCTCTCTCTCTCTCTTTTTATTTTGAATCAGGGATTTAGCCCATGGTCCCACTGAGTCACATCCACAGTCCTTTTAATTTTTTTTTGATACAGGGTCTCACTGAGTTGCTTAGGGCCTCACTAAGTTGCTGAGAATGAACTTGAACTTGTGATCCCTCCAGTGTTAGCCTCCTGAGTCCCTGGAGTTATAGGCTCTTTCATTTCAATTGCTGTCCATAGCTGAAAACTCATGATAATTACTTTTTATTTCTCCAGGTCAGTGACATAAATACCAGGACATCCATTCAGGTTATAGAATGCAGTTTAGGAATTAAAAGATTTTAGCAATTGACAACATAGCATAATTGGGTAGCCAGAAAAAATAAACAAATAGGTTCTAGACCATGAAAATATTATAATATTAATTGTAGTTGGAACATAGAAGTACGTTATCATTAATATAGTTTTGTAAAATCAGAAAATTGAGCTCTTTTTCTATCTTACAATAACTTTGTGATAAGAGATCTCAATGATTTACAAGATGACTGCAATTATTGGATCTTGGCTTGATGACATAAAACAGCAAAGAGCAATTAATGCAAACCAGGCATGGAAAACAAATAGCCTACAATCCAGTTACTTGTATAATTGTCATATTATCACAGACTTAACCACAGAACAGCCACAGAGTTCTAAAATCATGCTTTTATAGTAAGAACCACTTTTAATAATGTTCAGCAAAGGAAAATAATTTGCACATATAATTATTTTTAAAAATTGAAGACCAACTCAAGGAAACAAAAACTCAAAACTTGCCTGAAAAATAAGGATTTTCAAGATCAACTTATGATCATTTTTAAGACAAATCACATTGTTTTGTCTTACACCTTTTTCACACGACTTACCATTATCAGAAATTACTTAGATGATTTATTTTCATGCCTGTTTCTCCCCTGTCTCTTCCCATTGGAGAATAACCTCCACTAGGGTGGGTAACTTGCAGTGTTGTTCACTTTACCCCAGCACTACAATGTCTGAGGATTCCTTCACTCAGCCCAATGCCAAGCTTACTTTGAAAACTCATTTAGTAGGAAATTAGAGATTTTGAGGGGCTCTTGAGATTGCTAGAGATGAGGACAAGTTTGTGGAATTTGCTTTGGTGGAAGCCAGAGGCCTTCAACTTAGAATCTGAGATAGGAGCTATTTTAAGTCTTTCAATTGCAGGAATTAACAATATACATACAGTAAGACTGGGGACTAGTGCAGGACACCCATGCATTTTATGGTAGTTTCCTCACTTGGTTCTACATCAGAATACCCTTGGGCAAGTTTTGAAACTAAAAATTCCTGGGCCCTGAATCAGTATCTCTAAGGATTCATATTTATTACCAAGCTCTTAGATGATTAGTTCGAATGACTAAACACACCTGGACTTTTGAGCATCTGTCAAAGCACACATAGGTCTCATTCTGCCTTTTTGCATGGTTCTGCTCATAGGTTAGATGTGGAAGAGATATACATCAGAAAGGCAAACTCTTTCCATGTTCATTCCTGGTTAGTGTGAGATCAGGATTTTTACTATTATGTGAAATGATCATAATGAAGTGATTATTTGATAGAGTCTATGGGGGAAGAATTTAACATAAAAAAGGATTACAAATATTTTTTTGCAGCATTTGATTGTAGTTATTGCTTGGACCTTGTGTATTTTAATTATAAATTAAGAGAC